GGGCCTCTCACTGTTGTGGCGTCTCCCGTTGCAGAGCACAGGCTCCGGATGCGCAGGCTCAGCGGCCATGGCTCACGGGCCCAGCCGCTCTGCGGCATGTGGGATCTTCCCGGACTGGGGCACGAACCCATGTCCCCTGCATCGGCAGGGGGACTTTCAACCACTGCGCCACCAGGGAAGCCCGAAGCGTGGAGTCTTAACCACTGGACCGCCAGGAAAGTCCTAAAGTGTGACTATTTTAGGAACAGGAAGTTTGAGCCCAGGTTTGAGTAGAATTAAAGATAAAGCATGAGAAAAATTAACCAGTGAAATCCTGAGGAAAGTTCTCTGCCAGAATCCAGCGTTAACTCATGTGATTTTGGATTGCTGAAACTCACTTTATTCTCATTTCTTAATCCTTAAGAGTTCTAATCCAAATAAAGTAGAGATTAATGAGAGAATCTTGAGGGCTATATGTGTGTGTGTGTGTGTGTGTGTGTGTGTGTGTGTGTGTAAGTCCTCTATTATTTGGGGAGGCATCATTGTCTAAGGAAGTAGTTCCCAGATTTTTGGATTTCAAAAGAAGTATTCCCCCCCCCCGCCCCCAAATTGGGAGGCTGCAATAGAGGTGCCAGTTTGTTCTGCTGGCTGGCTATAGTCAATAAAAACAGCAACAGTAACCCATACCACTATCTACTGTCACTGTCATTTCATTGTAAGTAAGGATATTTTAACTCAAATAATTAGAAAGAACTGAATCTCAGTATGAAAGATCTTTAAATTGAATCACTTAGCTTTATTAAAAAGTTTACTTTCTTCTCATTTTTCCTCATTTTTATTTAAATTACTAAAAGCTTTGTTGCAAGTCTGCACCAGCCTGCCTGCTAATCCCTGTCCAGTGCACTAAGTTCAGATCCAAAGGTTCTGGGTGGACTCCTAGCTCGTCCACTTGTTAGACTGTGGCCTCGAGCTAGTCACTCATCTTCTTGGAGCTACAGTTGCTTCTCGGTTAAATGGGGATATTGAAACCTACTTTGCCAGATTAATGGGTAGGATTAAGGAGGATACATGGAATAAATAAATGGATGATACTTGAAATAAAGTATGTACTCCATTAGTTACAGCTGTTATTGACTGGAGGTGGTATGATTATTTTTTTTGCAATGTCTGATCATAAACGCCTTTAAATAGTACAAGTTACTTGTCTTAGGTGTAGTCATTTATGTATTTTAAATGTAAATTGTTTTAGAGTACTTTATTGCTCCCTCCATGGCATAGTATAAAGACTTAAAATCCATTTAAAACAACTCCAAAAGTGTGGCAAGAGACACAAAATAATGTGTAGAATATTCTTTATAGGTATTTCCTGTATGTTGCATTAGACCCCTTCTAAGAAGAGCTTTTATGTAAGAAAAAAATGATTCTGAAAGATGAAGAGGCTTGACAATTCAAGTCCTCAGAAAGTTGCCTTATTTCGCAAAATGTTGGACTAGTACCCCTCTCATGTCTTAAAAATAGTACCATCTGTTTACTACCCCCCTCTTTGAGACACATTTTTAGAATTAGAATAGAACCTAGGAATCTGTGCTGCCCCTTGCTTGGTTCAGCTAGACTCAGGTTAAATGACTTGTGCAAGGTAACACAGTTAGTGGCAGATTGGGACTAGAAGCCTGGCTTCCAGAGTGCTTGTTTAGAGGGACCACCACCCCACCCTCCTCCATTTTTAAAATTAAATTCTTATATAGGTAATATATTCACTGCTTCAAGTTTGAAAGATACTAAAGCATATATAGTGAACCGTCCCCTTCATAACCCTGCCCCCAGACTTGTAGTTCTCCCTTTCCTTAAGCAGACGTGAAACTTTACAGAGCCATTTTATGCATATACAAGCATAAATATGACCATATTAGTCTCCCCATTTTTTACACATAAAACTACCATATTCTATGTTCTGATCTGTACTTTACTCTTTGCTAGCATTCTTTCCATCACCACCATGCTTTTAAGTGCTTACATTCATATTTGGTGAATGTTATTAACTGCTACCACTATGTAAAAAACAATTTGTTCGGGCTTCCCTGGTGGCGCAGTGGTTGCCGATGCAGGGGACATGGG